CTGCCGACTTCTTCTTTTCTCGCTGGTAAAATTAATAAATTAAAGCGGATAAGACGAGTTGATCGGGAAATGAATAGGGCTTAAGAGGTACGCTGGTTCTATCTCTTCTCTAAGAATCAGGAAGAAGGACGACGGAGTGATTTTATCGAAAATTCCGTGAGCCGGATCCACGCTTGAAATTCTAATGGCCGAGCGCGGGAAGGAAGTGAGATCTACATAGAATTGCCGGTAATACGGATGGAAAGGTAAATATGTACGGTGCGCGCAGGGGAAAGCCAACGATGTTTCAACGCGGATAAAAAAAGCACGTTCAATAATTGATCGACGGGGCGGTGATTAATCGCGGAATTTATGCGGGCGTCGGTGACGTGTTGTGTGTCTCTACCCCGTGCGACACTTTTCGCGGGCATGAAATAAGAAGCGACGCGATTTAATCCGAGGCCATGCTGAAATAAACAAACCACGGGAAGCTCCAAGCCCTACATACCGGATGTATATAGATGTATGTGCTGGATTCCGTCGTGCACTTCCTTCCGTCCTTCCGCCAATTTGCAGCCGCTCCTTCCCTCTACAGAAATCTCCTTCGACTCCGACTATTTTCTGGTAAATTTTCCATCTGCCGCGTATATTTTCACCAAACCAATAGTCGTATTAAAATTCGAAAAAAATTGGCTATTTCAATTAAATTAAATAAGAGACGTTTTATTGTCAATTTTTGGACGTTTTAAAAATTAATCCCACCCACGAAAATCTCGGTCACACGCACGCGGACGACATCTCCAATCATTCATAATTCAAAAATAGCCGATGGCTCGACATTTTTTGTCAACGAATTTATGCGAAATGCACGAAAAACTTCGAACCGTGACGTGGAATGCACTCTTATTAGGATGCATCAGTTGTGCATGAAGCTGCGTTGCGCAATGCAGACTGAAACAGGAAAAGATTGCGAGACCGATAATCACGTAATTCATACGACAAATTTGCTGCTATTTTTTTTTCTCTTTTTCGTCCCTTCTCTTTCTTTTTCCGTTCGACTCGGATGTTTATTTCTCTCTATGCCGATTACGCGCATTTTCCGCTTGCGTCAATTAGGAAAGCTCGCTGAAAGCTTCGGTGCGTTAAGATAAATTTTACTTAAGCAATCGGCCGAATCCTCGTTACATACACACGCTACGCGTTACGTTTATTCTATGTGCCTGTGAAACTTGTGTTTGCTACCCTGACAATTATTTATCGTCTTCCCGGCTGTTAAAGTCGGCTTTGTATGCATTCGCGGCAGTATAAAATAGTTATAACGCTGCGATATTTTTAACGATTTATGTCCTATCAGCGCGTTCAGGAAGATTTATCAGTATTTGCTTTTTGTATCAAGAGAGAAATTGAGAATCGCAAAAGATTTAAGATTTTTGTTAACAAAGCTTTAGAGATAAAAAACGTGCGAGGGCTTTTAATATCGAATAAATAAATTCAGCAATTAAAAATTAAATAAATCGCTCGCTTAAAAATATTTCAAGAGATTAACTTCCTCTTTCTCTCGTTTAATTTTGCCACACCTGTTTCTGATTATGTACAACATGAAATTATTCACAGACTCAAATACAAAATTTTATAAATTAATAAATTTAAAAAAAATTGTTGACAGAAATAAATTATCATTTATGATCAAAGATATATTTTATGGTCAAATAGAGAGCTATAGATAGCTCTTTATCTTTGAATGAATTCCATTCGAATGAAACGTTTATTCCGTAGGTGGAGATGAAATTAATTTTTTTTTTCACTTATCCAACCCTTTTGCCTAAATGAAATTTTTATTCGGATAATGCCGGAGCCCGCGATGTGGACTCAATTATAAACTTTATTTTCGTATCTCTCGTCGCTCGTTTGTTTTTGAACTCTCGTTCGCCGACCGCGGCTGACCAGCGTCGTTTTAATCCGTTCTCCACAATCGCGCCCAATCATCGAATCCCTTTGGACGAATCGGAGCGCCGACCGGTCGCTCTGTGCTACAAAATTAAACGACGCCCGTCGAATCGCGTTTAGACCTCGAGCCGGCCGACCGACTCACCTATATTTTATTGACGTTGCATTTGGACGGCGGGATTGCGTAAATTCGGGCCGGAGCTAGGCGACCGCTCGAAACCCAATTTACACGGTTCACTCTGGACGATCATCCCGGATGAATCATCCCAAGTGCGTGTGCGTATTGCACGAACGAGTTTTCGCTTAGGCGCATCATCGCAAATCCACTAGCAAATGCAATCCGTTTTCGCGAAAATTAATCGCTTTTTGAAAAATACAGGCGCGAGAAATTAACTCGCGGGGGACTCGTTTCCCGCTTGATGGGCACCGCTGATTAAGTTTTACAATGGCATAATTAAATCGCTCGAAAGTTAGCCTACGAAAGCGATTTGATCGATTTTACGGCAGGCACGAAGCTCACATATTCGAAAGATAAACTCCGGCAACTGTGACAATTATAAAACAAGCCCTGCAACTCCATAATTATGAAACTCATAAAACATATATATTGTATAATAGACCGTTAGATTGACTAATAGCTTTTTCTAGCTTCAGGAAAATTTGTTATGCAATATGCATTTAATTTTTCAAAATATTTTATATATGATATGTGGAGTAAAATTTAATTTGCTATTGAAATATCGTTAGTTGAAATATCGTTAAGTCGATATTAAAATATGTTCCATCAAATGAAAATCTATAAAATCACGCAGCAATGCTGCGTTTTATTTATCCTGTACTGCGCAATATGGAACTTAATTGATCAACAAAAGTCAGTATTTTTACGTTTAAATGATATTAGCAGCGGTAATTTATGATCGATGTCATTTCCAGAACTATGCGATTTACGAGAACATGTATCATTGCGATGATGTATGATAGACACGTGTCTCTTTCAGACAAAACATGAGAGAGAGAGTTGAGGTATTGTCGATGAAAAGCATTGTTGATTCAATTTAGCCAAAAAAACGTGAACTATGCTGTTTCCAATATTAATTCAATTGTAAATCACTTCACGTGGCCTATACCAATCTTTTCATTTTTACTGCAATGTGTATATATCAATTTTTCATGATAAGCCGCCATATGGAAAAATCGTTGAAAAATACGTACGTCAAATTTTATATGTGTCAGAATTAATGCACGATTTTTCAATCTCATCGGAAAAAAGAGTGGGGGAGAAATGTGAAGCGGCGAGGATTATTAAATCGCGAATTGGAGTCGGTACTCATCTTATTAGCCCAAATTATAATTTCTATTATTATTTACACAACTGGCACAATCGCGTGGTTAATTTCAAATCGTCAATTTAGTCGGCGCGACATGTGCGAATTCGCTTTTAACGCAGCGGCGCACGGGACAAAGCGAGGCGAGAGAAGGGGGGGGGGGAGAGGGGACGCTCGCGTGTAATGCGTAACGCGGACCCCAATCTCTCGTATGTATGCGGTACCATGATGCGGTACAGACGGTGGAATACCACGCGGGCACAGGAATTATCGATCGTATCGAGGCGAAACCATTCGATTACCTTGATTCTTTCAGCGGCGGCGGTATCGGGGGAACTTAGCGGTTTGCGTGATCGCCAACATTATCGGCATAATTATTGTGCTCCCTCGTTGCCTCGCCAGCGCGCCTAATCGATCCGCGCCGCGGCACAAGGATGCATCTTTACGATGTTCAATAAGACGCAATTAGCGGCCTCTCTCGCTTTCGTGAAAAATGAGAAATTATACCGAGCTGTTCCGGACAGGAGAGAGTTCGGGCCCTCGGTAAACGTCCAGAGCGGCCGACGTCGAGCACATCGACGTGGGTTAGCGCAAACTCGCGATACCTGAAACTCTTCCTCGTCTCGCGTGATAATCCAGCGGTCGCGGGGAGCAAAAAGGAGCGCGTAATACGCAATTAAAGTTAATTAAGCAGGACGAACCGAACGTAAGTCCTGGATTACGAACGAGTGACGGAATCGGAAGTGGACGTGCCGTCGCGCTCCGCGATAAACGCTGGATAACCGCAAGCTTATTAGCCGGCACGTAGTTATCGATTCCCCGGCGTTACGAGTTTTCAAACTGGACCCGTTTTTACGGCTTGCGCCTCTTGCCATTAATTGGCTGCTCATTCTGCTTTCTTTTAAGAAACGACCACGAGAGTCTTAGAACTCGAGAAATGTTTTTCATATAATTATACCCTTTTTGGGGTGTGGCTTAATGCGCCGGGTTTTAACGGTTTATTATATTAATACTAAATCTTATTAACATTTTATTTGTTTATTGATTTAATGAGTGATAATTTATTACGAAGGTTAAGCACGATGTAGATTGATATTATTTGTCTCTCTTTGTGTTCGTTAGAATAGAAAAATTGGACTCTCTTGATTAAGATATTCTTCGAAAGTTAACTCTCCGTCGGCAACTTGTAATTTAGCGCTATCCATCAACAACCTGGGGCTTTGAAGAGCACACTGCAATTTTTTGCACTGTTCGGGATTGTATAAAAATCTGAAAAAATTCTCGTATATCCGTAAAACCTTTAATAACAAGTTTTTGCCATAGAAGTTTTTTCAAATGGAGATACCGAATCCCAGATATGTACTGAAGGAATCGATTGTGCCTTCAAATTTGCTTACCACAATTATTTGTATAAAATACGCAATAAATTAACAAACATATATATATATATATATAAAGGAAATTGTTACTTTTATATTTCCGTATAAAATAAAACGTTCGCCGAAATATACATCGTAAAATCGGTCGTTGACTTGCAAAACTTCTCCAAGTGGATAGATAAATATAAATCTTACGAAGACGACTTCTGCAGGGAGAAAACGTGGTGTAAACGTAATTTTATAGTCTATGGCACATCACCCTACTTCGCTTTATCCTATCGAGCGAGTAAAACGCCCGCAAAGCTGCGGCACGCGGAAACACGCGAGCTTATCGCCCCTCCGAGAGGCACAGCTTCCGAACTAAAATCACCTTTATCTTTCTGTTACAGGCGACACCGCACAATATTTTCGGATTAGGCCGAGCAACAGCTCCGTGCTGGAAGGTGGTGAAGTGATAATTCCTTGTGAAGTGGGCAATCGTGTCGGTACCGTTCAATGGGTCAAAGATGGATTTGCTTATGTCATACAGCCAAGTGAGTACAATACGTTGAAATATAAATTATCGCGATTTTTTATTTTTTTTCCTCAAATATCGTCTTTCAGAGAAGCTCTACAAATTCACGTCTATATTTGACGCGAAAATATTTTCTCAATCAAAAAGATGTGTTAGCGATAATTATGAAATATTTGAAATAAATTTTAGAATTATTAATAGTAATATATTATTTCTCCTACATTTTTTTACTTATTTTTTGTAAAACTACATTTCCAGATTCAGCGGGGTCTAATTTAAGATTTATTGAACGATCGTTATTTTCCGATTTTCTCTCTCACCGCCTTAATTGAGCGTCAATTACCTATCAGGGAAAACTGATTAGACCAGTTTTTGCCTGGCATTAACGCCAGTTTAAATCATGAACAACATAAAATATGGAAATGGAAAATTATGATAAAGACCACCAATTTATATATATATTTTTTTAAGAAAACATGATTTTATAATGGGAAACTTCTCACACGTAAACCATAAACGTAAATTTTGCATATCGTTTACAGCGGTTTTAATTTAAAGCTATTTTTTTATTTTGATATTTTTTTTTGTGAAACAAAATTTATCTTCCTTTACACCCCACGTTGGGTTCCAATAAATCCACTTGAAAAAAGAATTATGCGAAAAGTTGTTCAATATAAATGTATCGATGATAATCAAGATAAAATGCATAGAGAGCAAACCATGCATGTTAAATTCGATAAAGACAGGTAATCCTGTGTTGCACAATTAACGCCTCGGGAAAACTCGTTCGTGTCTAAATCCACCAATTAAAACCGCGTACAAAAGCTGCTTATATTTTTAATAGGAAATTGGGTTTTCGCTTTACGCGGGATTGTTTTACACGGGAATTTTCGAAAATACATTAACGCACTAATCAAGAACGACCGATGTTACCGATGTTGTTTTCTACTTCATCCCCGGATTTACGTCACCGTATACGTTACGATTACACGCAGCCCACAATTGGACACCTACGCAATGTGATTTTGCACTTTGTTTCGCGTTAAATTTTAACTTAGTAATCTATTAAACTGATTATTTTTGTTAAAGAAAATCTAATCTAAGGATAAATTTTTTTTTATAAAAACTTATGCATAAAAGAGAAATATTAAACGAATCAATACAAAATTTGTTATCTTGTTAAATTATTAATTTAAAAGTGTAAAGTTTTAAATTTTTAGATATACCAATCTATTTACCGATATATATTCAGTAAACTTTTAATTTATAATTGAATAGTTTAAACATGAGCAAATATTTAATATTTGATTTTAGTTTCCAGAGCATTTAAGATTAACTAATTCTTGTGTGCGTTAAAAAAAAATCTGACATGAATAAAATATAGAAGTAAAATGGACAAGAGAGGATTTAAAAATTTACTATCCCCATGTTATATGTTTTACGTATATGTACGAGGACTTTTACGATCTTACTTAAGAAACGTAGCAACGTTGTGGATTTATTATTTAAACTCCTCTGCAAAGAGGAGCCTCGTTCGAGAGCGAACGGACTAGCGACGGCGAGCGGTTAATTACTCAGCGGTCTCATCGACTTCCGGCTATCGTAATCGCATCGTTTTTGCCGAGAGTGCTCGCATACCGGCCGAATAAGCGCGTAATAAACGGAGCTAAAATTAAAGCCGAGACATTAATCGCGTATCCGTTTGTTGTGAATTACGACGTTCCTTAGCCGCGAGAAAGTTAAAACCAATCGGTTGACTTTATCGATCAGTCGTTGCCCAAGAACGCGCAGAAGTATAACTCGACGCATAACGATTTCTGATGAATGTTACAGACGGTGAAATCGTGGGCCATCCCAGGCTGAAATTGATCGGCGATCAGGACGCCGGTATTTTCAACCTGAGAATCATCGACGCGTCTCTGACCGACGACGGCGAGTATCAGTGTCAAGTTGGACAGTACGTGCGAGTCAAGCCAATTCGCGCCAGCGCCCATCTGATCGTCACCTGTAAGCATAAATTACACGCGAATTGAGAGTTTAATCCAGACCTGTTCAAAGTGAAGAAGAAAAAGGCGAGTTGTTGAAAGCGATTTTTTTTTAATTCGTTCACACAGTCATTCATGTCGCACTATCTCCTTTGATGATAGAATTGATTTACATGGCGTGAATATAATCTTTTTCCTCTTCTCCGAAATATAGTGATTGTATTTAAATGATGATTTACAATTTCGCCTCTTTTTTCTCATTTTTTTTTGTCATTCTGCAAGGTGGCAAAAAAATGCCGGATTTGGACAGGTCCGATTTGACTCTTTCGCCACTCTTTCGCCGAAGAAGCCAATAGTTTAACAACTGTAAATGCATCTAAAAAAATATTTACGACAATTAAAAATACATGACACTATTTTATTTTCAATCAGACTAAACGTTACGAAGATTGTTTTCGGATAAAAAAAAATTTTGGACGCGAAAGGATTGAACTATTTTGCTTTAATTTTAATCTTTTAAAATCCTCCTTGTATTAAAAGTAATTTTATTTTTAACTTATGAATTAATTAATTTAGCTTATGCGTGAGTATCATGAGATTTCACACACTTTATTTATTGAGAACAAATCCATTTGTTTCTTTAAACGTAAGATGACTATCGAGGATAATGAAATATCTATTTTAAGAGATCGCAGCGGAATCGCAAAATTTGAAAGATAAAAGAAACCGACTGTCGTGCGAACATTGTATGATAATTAAAATTTTCCGAGCGTAACTCGCGACGCTTCTCGGCAATCCGGGAAAATTCCAACAGCAGGATACGAAAAATACTTGCTCCTGCTTGGGAATAATCGTGGTCGAGTCGTTGCGACGATAGCTCCGTACGGACGTGGTACTTAAAATGCAAAGCGTGCCGTAACTCGAATTACAAACTCACGATCTCGAAACCGTGCTTAAAGTTAATTTACGCGGTTGTACGGGCGTTACGTTGTGTCGCCTCGCGAAAGGGCGACTTTCGGGTTCTGCGAGGACGGTTGGATCACGCTGACGATGACATTTGTTGGCCCGAGCGGTACCGGCGGTTTCCGCACCATCGACAATGTCTCTGGTCTTCCTCTCTCCTCCTCCTCTTCTCTCCCTCTCTCTCTC